TGTGGTTGAAATATATTGGGCACAATTAAGGTGGTCTCTGGATTTGAGGATGACTTTAGCTCTGCTCCTTCCAAAACATGTTGGGAAGGAGCCAGATAAGACTCCAAAAGGGGCTTAATTGCTCTGTTTTCTAGGAGGTATTCTTTCTATAATGTTTGCTGAGAGGCTGTGGAGCAGTGAACATAAGAGGCTGTACAGCTGAAGAGCAGATTGCTACACTCTAGGAAGGCCTGCCCTTTTGCATGACTTTTTGTACCCCTTTCTCAGGTCTATACCCCTACTATACTTCCTGATCATACTCAGACTCATTGACAGTGATTTGGGAAGTATTGCTGCAGTTGGAAGAGTTTTCTGTGGTTGGTCTTCAGCAGTCATCAAGGATTAGTGCCTCCCTTTCTCCAAGGTCTCCATGAGGACATCTTGAAAGTGAGCTGAGATTAGTGTTACAGGGGACAGCTGCCTCCAGGGTGCATCAAAACAGACATGTCTGTGCCTTACGCAGTCACAGGGCAAGAACAGGGGCTGACTTCTCCTATGTCTCAAAGGAAAGGAAATCAAAATAGCCTTTCCATTGAAATACTGGGTTACTTGTGTGTCTAAAACCTCTGCCAATTTGAGGGGTTTGAGGGGAAGCCTTTAAGTGAGCAACGCAATATAGAATCAGACCCTGAATAAGTCTTTCTTGTATTAATGTAGAGAAGCACTCTCCATTCCTCTTTTATCATGTATTCCAGTTCATTGCCCTCCCTCCCCTCATCTGTGCTTCTTGACCATGTGCTTTCTTCAAGCCGCTGAGAACATCCATCTCACTTTTGTCACAGGATGATGCTTTTTATGCAAAGATAAATATTTAGAGAAGTTTACAAAAGATTATTCCTGCTAATCCAGTGTCGGGACAAGTCAGCAGGGAGCAAGAGCCTGGGCTGCTGTGCACAGCTGTTGCAAGACCAAACTGTGGAATTTTTCTCTCCGCCGATTTCACTGATCAAAACCATTTAGGAAGTTGGCTCATGGTTTTTTCCAGAGTGAAATCCTCTCCATCAAAACAGCTTCTTTAGCGTGCAGGCCTTGTCCATATTGCGAATCTCTTGTCTCAGTTTTATTGTTGTGAGGCAAATTACTAATGCAGATATGCTGCACTTGCTGGACTAGTGAAAGGAATCCATGTTGGAGAAGTCCCTAAGGTGCAACTCAGAGCAAAAATAGTTGAGAAGTCTACCCACAGTGCTTGTGCACTGATAGTTTGGGTTTCACTCTGATCATCAGTACCTGAGAAACAGTATGCCACATTCAATATTAGTTTAATACAGGGAGACTTCAAAAGACATAAATGATAGGGGAAAACCCCAAGTAAGAATATTAAAAAGGAACTGTAAAACTGTTGGTTTGTTTGTTTGTTTTTTTCTAGTAATCATTCCAGAATGACAGAAGTAATTTCAGAATTCATGTGGCAAAATAAGTAATAAGAATATAGAAATACATGTAAGGCAAGTGGTTGCAAGTGTGCAGACACATCAGTGTATATTTCCTTTAAGTGTGTGTGTCCATCTTCAGTCTCAAGTACTGACAGTTTGACTTTTTGCTCCACTGGGAAGTTGATTTGTCATACCAGCTAAAATATATCTACCTCTTGGACAGCTCACAAGTAACGCTACTGTAGTGATGATCAGTGAAAGAAGAGCTGTCTGGCATGCTTTTCTTCAGTGCTGCTTTGCTGCCTCTTTCTAGTGAGAAGACCACAGGAAATCCACAGGAAATCCTAGAAAAATACCCTGCTTCCTCCTAAGGACCTGTGGAGCAGGCAGCTTGATATGACTGCAGACATTTCTGAGCTAGGCAAATTGAAAGAGAATAATCTTTCATAGGAAGTGTCTCAAGTTTCATTGTTTGAGACACTGAGAACACAGTGGACAAAAACCAGATGGTCTGATCAAATGTCGGTGATATATTGGGCAGGAGTGTTGGACTAGATGACCCTCAGAATCCCCTTCTAACCAACATTTTTATATTTCTTTGAAGTCACATAATCTAAGAGGCTTTTTTCCATCTTCAAAATCTGTGCTTCTCTGATAAACACTCCTAGGCCTTGTATTTGGTCCCATTGTTTTTAAGTAATTTATTTATGAGATTTTAATTAAAGATACTGTAATTAAAGTGTTGTTTTTATTGCAAGTTATGAATTAATTATGCTGTTCTCTGGGAACACTAGAATTTTTTAAGCATTCTTCCAGTAAACTGAATTATCTTCACTTCAATATTTCCAATATATTCCTATAGCTGAACACATTTCATGATCCTAAAGAAGCTATATTAAATTTAATAATACCATGAGAAATATGCTTAAGGTTGTAGGCCTGTGACTTTGATGACTAATATGAATGAACAAATTGAAACTCATTCATCATTTAAACTTGCAAATGTAACTGAAGTGACTACATGATTCAGGCTGAAATACAATCTAACTGAATTTTAAAATGTTGCTTTTCGTGGTAGATCTCATCCACAGTTTCTGCAATCAAGGTGTCAGCTCAAAGGAGAAGTAAATCTGAGTGTACATAAAATATCTGGTGTACATAAAATTGGGGTTAGTTTCTTATTTGGAGAGCTTTGTCTCCTGAATACATTTAAAAATTTGGATCCACATCCTGCTTCACCTGGTTGCAGTGGATGGTCCTTGCTCTGCTGTGCTACCGTGCAAAACATAGGTGGGCAAAATCATGAAATGATGGCAAGGTGCCCTCAAGCTGCACTGACCTGAGAAAAGATCATGCAGTTTTTCATTGTATGATAGCTGTAAGGGGGGTGTCCACACACAGAGACTGGCCTGCAGAAGCCAGTCTTCCCAAACTCTGCCTCTGCTCAATGGAGAGCAAACTCCCAAGAGTATGAGGTCACGTGTAGACATGATTCAGAAGCCGGACTCTGGGGAGTAATTTGTAGCCTCAGTGAGTAACCGCTGACCAAGATGGGTGGTGAGTCCAGATATTTTGCCTAAACTGCAGTGTCGCAGGGTGAGCTAAATTCACAATAATGTTCTTACCAGTGTCCAAGTCTTTCAGCTGCAGGCAGTTTACTTAAAGACTTGTGTCCCTCAGTATGAAAGCTCATCATTTCAGAACATGGTGAAGCCTTTGATAACACCATGTAGGTAGTTCCTGGTTTCCTTAGGAAATAGCTAATACAGTATATCGAATTTGTATCCATTTACTATTGTTTCTCTCACCAAGAAAAAAATTGAAAAATTGAATATTTTTAATATTGGAAAGATAGTTTGTCTCCCACAGCAATTAAAGTCAGAAAAACAAGAGGAAATATCCTGGCAGTTATATACTTAAAAACCTTTCAATCTTTCTGTGAAAACTCATCATTGGCTTTAAGCCTTTCCTTTCAGGCAAACCTTAAACTACAGGAAAATGAGTTTCTGTAAGATGAGATTCAGAAAAATGAGTTTCTGTAAGATGATTATTATTTTCCATGATTCTGGTAGCATGCACAAAGTAGAGGAATCTTTCCAAACCAAGAAGACGATATAGTCCCTGTTCCAAAGCACATGAGTGTAAACAGGCAGGGTAGGGAAGAAGAGGAATGAAGCTACAGTATAGAGAGCAATCCAGGCAATGCTAGCCATGCATCAGATGAATTACAGCTGGTAGAAAGTGATAGAAATTTTTCTGGAGGTGAAAGGAATCAAATTTATTCTTGTTTAGTAAATGAATGTATTTTAGCCAGAATTTTTTGTGAATGTATTTGAATTTTAAGATGTTATTTATATTTTCTCCACATTAATTGTTAAGAATGGGAAACAAATATTATATTTCCAGGTTCTATCAAAATACTTTCTTGGGGAAAAAAGCAATTACAGGAAAATTCCACGTAAAAATCATGTTTATGAGATTCCAATTATTTCTGCTGGGTGCAGAAATATTCAAACCTATTCCTAAATGAATAGTTCCCTTCAATGTGGGAGTTTAAACAAAAAGGTTTCATACTCGCAAACCACATTTTAGTTGTAGATAAGTTAGAATGAGTAGTTTGAATAGGAAAAAAAATCTCAAATGTAGACATACAAAACACTGCAGAAATAAAAGGTGTGTAAATATTGTCTTTCCTCACCACCGTGTCCTTGAAAAACGAGTCCTTTCTTCCAGGTTTCTTTTCAGCTCAGTGACTTTCTGGGTTACTGCAAACTATGTAGTCCCTCTGCGTCTCACATGACCTGGTCACTCTCTTTTAGAGGAACATGACAAAATAGCATAAAATAAAAGCCATATGTCATAACTTGCAAGGTAAAAGTCCTAGTTCAACTGGTGTCTTTGAGACGTGTGCATCTGTTGACAGTGGAAATGTTTTTTTAAAAGAACCTGGAAAATCCAAAGTGTTTAAAGCTAATTCCTGCAAGCAAGAAAGCATGTCATTCTTCCTCCCACCACTCCCCCGTTTTCACATCTAAATCATTAACTTGTTTTCTATTTAGTTTACTGGTAGTGACTTTCAATTCTCTGAGGTAAATCGGGAGAGATGCTTTTAGCAATGCCTTTTCTTTATTGCCTACCCATAAGAGGAATTGCTGCTTACAACAGGAAGCTTTTAAAGATGGATTTAAATGATGCTTTGAGGAAGAATGAGAAAGTATAATATAAGGAGAGAAGTGTGCTGGAGCCTCTGTAGTACAGATTTGAGTACACGCCACTCTGCTGGCAAGGTCTGTGATGGGTACACCAAGCTCTGCAGTGTATTTGTGTGTTTCAGCTTGCATGTTCTATCGTTACCTAGTCATATATTGAGGCTCAATAAACAGAAGTAGCAGGCCTGGATGTCCTGACATTACCTTACCCAGCCAGTAGCAGGCATGTGGAATATTTGGGCAAGCATTTGTTTCTATATTCAAAATTTCATACATGATTGTAGCATCACAGAAGACGAGATTTTAATAAGCAATATGTTTCCTTAGGATAACAGCTTTGATGTGGGGATTTTATATTTTGTTGTTTCCTTTGCAGGAAGACGGTATCGTGAAGGAAATAGACATCAGTCATCATGTGAAGGAAGGTTTTGAAAAAGCAGATCCTTCTCAGTTTGAGCTGCTGAAAGTATTAGGACAAGGTTCATATGGAAAGGTAATTTTTAATGCCATCTAATCACCTAGAGCAACACTGAAAATGTCATGTCCTTTTTCTAAGTTCACTTACACTGGTAACATCGTCCATCTATAAATTACATTGTAAAGGCAGATAAGCAAGCCCAAAAAGCTTCTAACTTTTGTCTCTTAGATGATTCCTGTATATAAAACAGTTTAGGAAATAGTGTTTATGGCTCTGGACGTGGATTAATCAGCAGAAGTGAGCATTAGTGAGCATTGCTGTTTATAAAATCAGCCCACCCCACCTCTTTCTGACCCACCCATCAGGGAGGTGAGTGGCCACTGCTGCTTGGCTGGAGGATGTGAACACAAACATTCAAAGGCTTAAAGTTAGCTGCCCAATTCTCTCTGAGGGCAAATGAGATCTCAAACACATTTCAAAGTTCCAGACTGCTCTTTAGCCCACACTCAGAGGCCCATATGCTTTGCTGAGAGAATCCTGGAGTCATACCCCAGTGCTGAAGAGAGCAATTGTTGTGGTGAGAGCATGCGGGAAAAAAAAAACCTATCTGTATGACTACAAGCTAATTTGTGGAGAAACAACATTTTTTTTACTTTTCTTACTGCCAAGGACAATTCTTCTTTGGCAGGATGTGTCAGAAATGAGAATAGGAAGAAAAGATGGAGAGAAAGAGGGAGTAGTCAGTTCAGTCTTAAACTCTTTCCATGGTTTAAATAGGTAAGACTTTGAAACCTGTGAAACAGTGAGCCTAATTTAAACCAGGAGTGGAAGTCCCTATAGTTTAAAGTATATTATTTGGAATTTTAAAAAAATATTTTCCAGCCTCCAATTCAATGGTGGATCATTCTGGCTAACTTGAAAAACTGACTTATACCTAAAAGTTGCTGAGGTACCTAGCACAAAGCTGGGCACCCTGGTGATAAATCAGTTTTATTTAAAATTAGTTTTATTCCTGAAAGCAACTATATTGAGAGTATTTAACAACTTCCTCACTATTCTTGAATTATATTGATAAGCAAGTCAGTTAGAAGTTCTCTGAGATGAGAGACATTAGGAAAGTTAGCATTCACTAGCAAGTTTTGATCTTGAGAATTTTTTTGGAGCACAGCAATGGTATTTGAGCTTTAAATATTAAAGAAATATGAAAAATCAAACAACTCAAAATTAGTTTTACTGTATGACTCAATACAAGAGGGAGAACAAGAGAAGAAAATCTCTTTTGCAAAAGTAGCAGAGGCAGAATGGCAGTTTTCAGAGTCAGGCAGTAAAGAGTTTAGAAATAGTTCACTGGCTGTCTTAGACTGTACTGATGTATTTTATTATTAACTGTTTGAGCTGGCTTTCTAGCTTTAGGCATTTTGTAACCACAATGCTTAGTCTCTGCCATCACTTCCAAAAAGGAGATCTGATTTCTGGAATATGCTCCACCCAGTTCGCTGACATCTTACCTTTTTGGAGCTGTGTGTGATTGCAAATCATTTTATCTTACATGAAACAAGTCAGCAAACTCCCCAGAGCAACAAAGACACAGGGGAGGGAAGTCTGCTCTGTGTTTCTTATGCAGGCTCCAACCACCTAAATTTTCATCACCTTGGTATTTGAGTTAATGTTCAAATCCATAAATCTCTGGGGATGCAAACCAGTTGGTTTTCAAGTTGCTCACCTGAGGTCTAAATAATTTCTTGCAGAACTAGAGAAGGTACCTTCAGTGTCAGAGGGAGTGCTCTCAATACTCTTGTAAATCACAGCACTTGCTTAGCTTTCTAGGTCAGGACTGAGGTGATATGCCCATTGCTCCAGCTAGGGGAGTTTTCCTAGTTCAGGTGTTAATAACCTGAGGTGTTTGCATGCATATCAAACTAGAAAATTGAAAGTCATGCTCAGCCACTTGCTTGTGCTATTCTGGCAAACTAATATAGTGTAGCTAACATAACCAGTCAAGTAAACTCTAGGACCACTTGGTGCTTTCAAGAACAATGTAACTTTACCTTTAAGAATAATCAGGATTACATCATTTTGCAATACAATGCATTTTCATTTGTTCTGTTTCCTTTCTGGTTTGATGATTATTCTGATGTCCTCTGAAACAGTACACAGTGTTCTTGACTCATCTGTTTTGGAGGGAATGTAGACAAGTGCCTTATCCCGTGCTACAGGGAACAGCTGACTAGTGACTAGTAACGTAAATTGATAATTTTGCTTATTACAGCAATACGAGTATTACAGGCTTTGCAAGATTACATGGCAGATAAGACATTTCTACAACTGCAGCCTAATATTTCTGCAGATGCAGCATGCTGTGCTGTTCTGTGTGCAGTACAGTTTAAAATCATTATCTTAAGGGTTTGGGGTTTTGGTTTTTGGATAAAGATTCCATAACCATTTTTGGTTATTATTCTGCAACATTTTTGCAGAATAATAATACAGCTGAAACTCTAGTGTTTGGGCAGGTTTACTTTTGACTTTTTCCTCCCTTTCAGTGCAATGCAAAAAATAAATCTTACTTGGGCTGGATAGAAAAATATCCCAACATCTCCCTGTCGAACTGAACTTCTAAATGAATTGACTTCCTGTTAATGCTGGAGCATCTGAGCTTAATTTATCATGAATTTATCATGAACGAAAAACACTTCAGAAAGTCTTATGTGTTCCCATGGCATCCAGATTTCATCATTTGTTCCTGCAGTTGTGAGCACCAAGGTATTTGTATGCTCATCAAACTGGGAAACAGGAGATGTGCCCAAGTACAACTAGTTAGCGCAGCTTGGCTGAGGAACTGCATATCTCATATGTACAAGAAACATCTTGAGAAGAAAAGTCTCGCCAAAAACATATCAGATCATGTTGCAGAAGTGTTGTTGCCGTGATGCTGTCAGGTGTAAGAGCCCTGGTTAAGGTGTTCATGGAAAATTTACCTTTTTTTTTTCAGCTTCTTTACCTGTTAAAGGTTGTTCTCCCTCCCCACAAACCTTTCCTCAAAGGGTGTTTGAGAAAATCATAGTCTGTTTAGAGATTTATTTTTTTTTCAGGAGGAATTGTCTTTCTACTTGCAAATAATGTGATAGAAGCAGACTTCCTCCCTTCTTTCCTTGACTTTTTATATTTTGAGTGGAGACAGTTAACAAAGCTGTGTGGTTCCTGAACAGGCAGTAAATAAAATAGTTGCCACCGATTTTTGTAATCCAACTAGGCATTCATTATTTATATAATTTCACCTATCTTTTTGTTAATTTATAAAAGTATATGCTGTATCTGTGGGCTTGTATTTCTGCCTTGGGCCTTACTTCTGCTTCTGTCCAGGAACACAAGTGCTGAAATAAAAAAAAAAGAGACACTGTTGTCTGGTATGTCTGACCTCAGCAGACAGAGTGGGTCCTGAGAATCAGCTAAGAGATTTCTTAATTTCATTTTCAATTACTAAACCCCTGAAAGTCTTCTAAAGACCAAACTAACTGATTCCTTTGTTCACTACCCCTCCAGCGCTCAGATGCATTCAGGGGCAGATAAGAAATAGCTGCATGCAGTAAAACAAAAAAGATCAGAATTTTAGCTGCAGTTTTAGCTTATTTCAATGACAAATTTGCACTGTCAAAAGATGTAACATAGGTAACTATAACAGGGAAAACTGTGTTTATTATAATAACCTATTAATCAAAATAGTCCTACTTTTTGTTAAGTGTGCACAAACAGGTTTTCAGCTGTATGAACTTTTTGCTTCACTTATATCTTAGGCTAGTCACCAGTCATGACTTACAGCATAAATTAAACCAAATAGTTTTTTTCTCCTTAATTTAATTGATGGCAATAATCTTAAGACACTGCACATTCCTAAGCACAAATCAGACATAACATTTTTTCATATAAATCTGAAGAATATGAAGAGATGTGCACATGCTGATTATGACTATTTACCCATCTTTAATTTAATGTGTAAGGGTAATCAGTAACATTGAAGATATTTTCTTTGTGAGGTAGTAGAGGCTTAAAAATGAAGCTTTTCAGAGCTAGTTCAACCAGTTGCAGGTGAAATAGATACAAAGTCCTTTCAGCTAATAGTTTTCATTAGAATTCCTGAATCTATTCCTCTATCGAATGCCACAAGGCTTGTAACTGGAAGTTCAGTACTCATCTACATAAGACATCTGCTTTTTACAGGTATTTCTAGTGAGGAAGATCAAAGGATCTGATGCGGGTCAGCTTTATGCCATGAAGGTACTTAAGAAGGCAACTCTGAAAGGTAAGGATTGGGACAGTGGCTGCAGTCTCTATTTCTGTGCTACTTTGTCATTTACTTGTCATCTTTTGCATTGCTGCTGTCTTACAATATGTAAGAGTACACAAATATGTTTCCACCAAAATTCTGCCTTGCTGTAGTGAATGTTATAAAAAATTGTACACAGAAACATTACCTATATACAGTGTGGGAGCAATAAAACAGGGCTTTGTAGTTTTCCAGCTATATGACTTCTGTTGGGCATACATTAATTTGTTTGGCAGTGGCAACATCTGTCTGTTGCTGAAATGAACTGAACTAAGTATTTTTAAATAAGGATATTGCTGAAGTAAAACATGACTCCCACTGGGCATGAAGGCATTCCAGCTGATGCTTCTCACTATAGGCCTGAAAATTCATGGGAGCATATTTTCAGGTGCAACGAGTAATTCTGAGATTGTTGAGAACATGCTGGTTTCCTAACTCAGAACAAGTCAGCACATGGTCTACAGTAGGCCGGGGCCACACGACTAATGTTTGGATCTGGTCATACTCTTCTGGGGCCATTGACTGCTACAGCCTCACTCAGACCAAAAAGAAATTTCTAGTAAAACACAAGACTGAAAAGCAAACAGTGTAATTTTGGTCTCAGCTGAAGTACTTAAATTCCTCTACAGAGTTAGGAAGATCCAGTCATCTTCTTGTTTCCCTGACCTATTACTGTACTCTATTTTTCCCCTCAAAAGCCAGTCATTTTTTGAAGGTAAGGTGGACAGCATTTGTTTTACCCAGAGCAGCTCTTTTGCATTTTCTTGGACAGTGTAGGTTTGCACAATGCAATATAATGCCTAAATTTCAGTCATAATATGAAGCAAGATCATTTTGAGATAGTTCTGATGACTTAAAAACCCAAATCGCTTTAGCATTCCTCAATCCTGGGGAACTGAAGATAGAATGAAGGTCCAGTAATGGCAAGGTAAACTCACAGTGAGCGGTGGCAGGCAGACACAGCACCTCTTCTGCGTACTAGTCAAAATGGGGAAGTGGCAAACCAAGTGTTTATACAGACCTTTCCCCTAAGAAAGCCTTTTCAAAGAAATGTTAGTTTGAAGCAATGCTGGCGTGCTGATCTTTTTGTTTGGAATGTAGATGGGAAAGTTTGTTCTGGCAGAACAGCGTGGTGTAAATAACCACTTAAATAGTACTGAGCATAATACATAAAAAGTAAAAGGTCAGGTCTGTGTACACAGTATATATAATAGAGTGATTCTCTGACTTCTCAACCAAGAGCAGAACCCTGAAGTGCCCAAACTGAGTCAAACTCAGAGCCTTCCCCACCAGGGAAAGACATCTCCTGCAGGGCACAGCGTTTGAGGAAGAACTGTGTGATCCCTCTGATGTCAACATGTACCAGAGACTCGTTTCATTTTCTTTTGAGAGCCCACAACTTTTCACCTAAGATGAAAAATTGATATTATCTATTTTTACGTATAAGATGAAAAATTGATATTATCTATTTTTACATATAACGCCGAGGTGTGTGGATCAGAAAGAGCTTTGCAGCAGGATTTCTTCTGCATCCCCAAACACACACAAATATTTAATAGCTAAATCTGTAGTGTTAGATTTCACGGGGGGAGGGGGGGGGAATCTGTATTATGACAATATTTTAGGAATTCTCAAAACTTACATGGTGATTTTAAGCTACTCAGAGTGGTTTAATCTCTGTTCCATCAAGAACAGGCAATTGTAGTTGCCCTCTGTGTTTGCAGTTCCTCAGTTTGTTTTACCACTGAACCACTGCCTCTCTCCTCCCCTGGCCATTACAGCAGGCTATTTATTGTGTTCTTAAGCCTGGATCACAAGATACAAAAGTTGAAGCTGCTTTGTGATTTTGCCGGATGGCATTTCTCTCCCATTGAGACTACTTACCCCCCTGACTGGTGGCTCTGTATTTCCCATTAATCTCAAGATAACTAGCACAATGTTAGGGACTAATTTGTCCACACTAGTTCCTACAAATAAGTTAAACTTGACAGCTGTTTAACTCGAAGCACAAAGATAAGGCAAAACCCCATAGGCACAGGGCAAGTGAGACGAGCGACAAGGAGGATTGCTGTCAGTGAGCTTCCTGTGAACTTTTGGCACAGAGATAATATTTCTGACAGCTTAATTTCATCTTTTAAGTGAGAATTGTTGCTGCTTACCTACCCTCAAACAGTCTGGAAGTCACTCCAATGTGAAGTATTTATTACCATGTCAATTAATGGGAGCAAAGCCATAAGTACTTGTTAGCACTGCATTCAGTATTTACTGACAAAAGGCATGCTGTGAGACAAATTTCTCAATGATTTTGCTTCCCAACCTGTACTCTGCACAGTACAGCATGGAGCAGGAAAGTCAGCTGTCAGTGCTAGTGCCAGTGACATGGCCACACAGCCCTAAATATCATAGCAGTTATTTTCTTTAGTGAAATATGTTTCTAAAACACATAAAATGGAGAAATGAGAAAGAAAAGAGGGGTGGGTAGCAAAACTGGTTTTTCTTTTCTGGATTAGTATGAAGAATTAAAACCTAAATAAATAATGTGAGGAAGTTAAATGCCTTCGGGAGTGATGGGTTAAAACTAGCTTTGTACCTTGCTCTGAAGAACAACTATAGTGGGTCCTGCCTAAGGGTTCCCTACCTCAGGAACCTGACCCTGGCCATGGCTGGCTGGTAATGGTTAGGAAGAAGCAGAAGTACAAAACTATGCTTCTTCCAGTGAGTCTACTGTCTCCTGCCTCTTTCCAGGGTAATTGTCTCTTGTTAGCATGATCCCAACTTCACCCACATCAAAGGATAGTATAAGAAAGGTACAGCAATCAGCAGCGGTGCTCTTCAAGCATTTACAGCTCCAAAAAGTTGTTTGATACAAAAGAGGCTTTGTAGATCAATTACATGTGTAGATTTAAGCTTGGAAGATATCTGCTAAACAGCAGAACCGCTCCTGCTGTGAAGGGAAAACTAGAATCCAAAATATTCCAGTTTAGATTGTAAACTGAGCACACAAGCATTTTGTGAAAATGTTTTTAATCTTTACCTCATGAAGGTTTATATTAAATATAGAGTATATCTGAATAAGCACCTATAACAGCATGGATCCTTGAAAGTGAGAAAGCCACTGCTCCTCTCAGTTGTAAATGAGAGCATCACACACAAGTTGCTTTCCTTCATGCCTCATTTCTTTTTGCAGGAGCTTGTGGGTATCTGTTTTTTAAAGCAGAGAACTTCCTGAAGAAAGTAGATAAGCGTTTCATTCTAATTATTAATTTTAGGAAAATGTTGTCCAAAATGTTTGAGAATGTTATGTATATTAGGTGCCAGATGGTGAATACATCAGATTTGAGACTACATGCATGTATAATTCTAACTCATTTGACTTTGAAGCACTATTTATTGAATTACAATACCCTAATAGCTACCTTTGCAAATATAAACCCTTTTTTTTGGGGGGGTCTATCTTCTCAAAGACTTTTAGGCACTTAAATACTTTCCGAGAGTGAGACTTTTGCCTTTCAGAATGTCATTAGAGAATACTATTAAACACCATCTTAAAATGTTTCTTTCACATCTTCATTACACCCTACTTTTTTCTTTGGAAATCAGATTTTTAGATTAAAAAATTGAAAGAGAATAAAGTTGGTCTATATGTTTAAAAACTTGAAGATATATATCAGTGAGTCTTGACTGTGTGGCCTGAATGCACTGAGACTGAGGAAACAGAAAGAAAGCAGGGACTGTTTATTCTGTGTATGTGTGCCTTGTATTCACCAACAAAGCTGGAACAGAGAGGAGGGGCAGGCTGATTATTTTGATTCACTCAGTATTTCTTTCAAGGTGTCTCAGGCTCCATCAGCTTTACTGGATGTGCTTCAGGATTCTGTGAACAATAGCTGTTGCGATCACTTACAGTATAAGCCTCATGAACCACCCGTGAAGTGCCCATAAATTCCCAGGTTGCTGTGCTGGAATGTAAGACTTGCCTCTGGAGCTTGAAAATCAAAGACCCATCCCTCCAGGAGACATGCAATTTTAGAGAAAGAGGCTTGAAGCCGTAATTCACTGACATAATGCTTATTAAGTTTAAATATTTCAGTGCTGATCTGGTGAAGGTTATGTGATGGGTCACAAGGAAGTAGTTTGCAGCTGTCCATCTTGTTGGTGATGGGCTGTGTAAATCTCGACACTGGAAGCTATTTGACCCTGAGAACTGAGAGAGTCTACCTGTTTCTGCTTATGCGATTTAGAAATGATAATCTGTTTTGTCAAAAGCTCTGAAGCGCTTTGCAGTTTATGATCCCCTCAGTCTAAGCCAGTAGGCTTATGGGTTTACAGTTGTGCTGAGTGCGTGTGGTGGTTATAGATGCAGTAAGCGGTGGGGGCAGCTTTAGTGGCTCACAGAGAACTTGCGGTGTTCTCAGGGATGTTGGATTGATGATAGTAATTGTACACTAAATTGAACAAGTAACTTAGATGTCACCAGATGGACTGTGATTTCCATCTAAAACCATTGATAAAATTGTAATAGTGGTTTCCCAGTTTGGACACCAACTGAAGTACATTCTTCAGTTTTTCTCTGTATGTCGCTCAGTTTCCCTGGCATGATTGTGGTGCCTGGATCTAAGATACTGAACTCCAGTGGTTTCCTTCTGGTTTGAAGGGAACAAAAATCCATCAAAACAAAAAACTGAGGACAATTTAACTTTTTAAGGCAAAACTCAGAGCCTTCACTTCCAATAAACCTAGTGCTTTGGTGATGAGCTTCTCAAGGTGTCTTGTTCTATTTTGTTCAGCCCCTGTGTTTGGTGAGAGGATCTGTTATTTACCCAGGTTCACCCTTTGAATTCTAGTTTATTATCTTCCCTTAAAGTGTTCTTCCATATGTTTTTATATTCTCCTGTGTCTCTTTATCACCCTTCTCTAAACAATTCAGGAAAATTCTGACCCCACATCCAGTTTACTCTGAGTCCAGACCCCACAGC